ATTTTATTGAAGAAGCCAACTGAAAAATAAATTGTTTTAAGAAGAAGAAGAAGCATCAGCGAACGCCATTGCCACACCTGCTTTCATACTTAAATACATACATACATATGTACATATTGGTGGAGTAGCAGCATAGAGGCCGAGCAGCAACGCTTTAATAATTTTCCTAAACAATTTCAATTGCAAGGTAAATTGTTGAAATATTTTTTTTCACAAACGTGCATGAATGTGAATTTGTTTATCAAATATTCATAAGCTAAACGTGACAAATAAATTGCAGAGCAGAACTGAGTACATATATGTATGTAGCTCTAGTACGAGTGAAAGATAAGGCCAGCCGATTTTTAAGTAGCGATAAGTATTGTGGCAAATGCGAAAAATTTTGAAAAGATTACGAGCAGCGTTGATTGATTACCAGTAATCCATAAATAAATACTGTACCAACTGTCTGGCAAAAAACAAAAAAAAAAAAAACAATGACCATAGCAAAAGAAAAACGACAAAGTATCGAGTAAAATGGCGACAATATTTTTAAACATACTTTTCCACAAATTAGACTCACTTGTTAATACCATATTTAAAATTGTAGCATCAAGATCGAATTAATCTCTTCTTTTTAGACGGAGAGCTCCCGCTTGCCTTTCCTTCAACTTCTGGTGTGCGCCTTATAGTTGCCACAAAGATTTATCATTTATTTGAACCTGGTTGGCAGTAACCCAGAGCATAATAAAGCTAAAATAATCTTACCGTTGCCCCGGAAAGCACCCAGATCGCTTATTTTGCCAGCAAAGCACATACTTCAAGCGATAGTCGTTCTTACTCGTCCTCGTCAGAAGACTCATTACTAATTTCCAATAGTTTGCATATACATATGTACATAGACTATTAGTTAAATTTTTGTTTTTAATTCAGGTGTGGTTTACGAATTTTCAAGTCCGAACGCTGCACCACATGATTCTTTTAAGATCGCCAGACAGCGAGCTTTACAAAATATCAACTTTTATGAGCTGTGCGACATAACCTCCTAAATGGCCGTATTAACATGTATAATATTTATTCATTGCGTTTTTCTGCAATAAAAGAAACCAGTGTCTAGATTTTGCAGGCTATTTTAATTGTAGAAAACGTGCTTCACAAATTGAAACAGTCGTACCTCAGTTTCATAAGCATCAAAGTTCCATAGGTTAGGTTAGGTAGGATTGACTGCCCCAGATCAGGGCCATACACTTTGCAATGAATTTTTATTGCCATTTTTAGTAGCACAACTCCAACCCAAATTGCCAAGGGATGATAGAAATTCGTTCAAAAATTCCAGGGACCGAAAATAACCATTAACCAAGATTGTTATTTTTAGATCATTCCAAAATCGTTATTTATTGATTTTTATTATTTCAATCAAGAATAATGGATAAATTTGGATTTTTCACTTTTTTTGATAAAATTTTATTATAATTTTTATTTTTTGATCAAAAATGTTCGTTATTTTTAAATAGTTTTAGACCGGGACTGCGTTTTGATGATTGAAAATTGAACCTGGAAATATGCGATGAAGCTATAATCGAAAAAATTAAAATCGCTATTATTGATTTTAATTTTTTTTTAATCAAGAATAATCGATAAGTTTGTATTTTTATTGTTTTGATCAAATTTTATAGTAATTTGAATTTTTTTATCATAAATGTTCGTTATTTTTAGATAATTTTAGATCGTTATAATGGGGACTGCGTTTTAAAGATCGTTTTAATTATGTTATGATCTAAAAATTAAATCTGGAAGTATGCGATTAAGGTGTAATCGAAAAAATAAAAATCACAAAATAACCATAAAACTTGACCGAAAAAATAAAGATCCAAATTTAATGATTATTTTTAATCGTTAAAATAGAAATCCCATATTAAAAAATGATTCTCAAAATAAAGATCTTAAACGTTCACGCTCGCATTGAACTGTATAGCGTGCTTAATAAGTAGCTCTATCTAGTTTAAAAGCCTGCATCGAGCCCACATAGTGCCGTACTTTTAAAATAAATTTTACAAATAAAAGTCGGTAATTAGAAACTATCACTCCGCAGGAGGTTGCTTGGCAAATGTCGCGTCAACTAATATTTTTAATTTCTGCATACCCTGTGCTGATTCAGCTAATTCATACTTTTGCTTGCTTTTATTCCCACAAGTTAGAAAATAATTTCATTCATTGTTTATTTAATTTTTTCCACATAAATTGTAATTTATTAAATGAGTCAAATAATTAAAATTATATATTATTTTTTATTTTGCAATTTATTATTCATTTATTGTATTTCTATGGTAATATTTTTGAACGCAATCAATCATTCATTGCTAACTAATGTATGTACATCAATTAAAAGCTCATTAAATTCAATGCACTTCTAATAACGCTTAATTTTGTTTTTTTTTCGATTTTTGATTTTTTCATGCCATTAATAAAACAAATGTAAAAATTTATTATTTTTGGTAAATCCGGTTTTGTAAGCAAAATAAAACGCATAACCGCTAAATGCACTTTTTTCGCACGACAAGCAATCACCTGCCCGCATTGTCATTGAACCTGGTCGCTAACATCGCCATGTGTTAGGACAACAGCATACATACATACATATGTATGTAGATAAATCAAGCAAGATTTTTTGTTTCTTGCAATTTGCATGACGGCTGCATTAGAATGGCATTTTATTGTTGTTTTTCCAATTCTTAACTGCATTTGTTTTAATTTTTTTTTTTTGTTTTTTTCTCCACAAGCACACACACACTCGCCACACAAGTCAAAGTCCAAATGAAGGAGAACAGGAACTTGTTGGCTGTTCGCTATATAAACTTTTTTCTTATTGCTCATTTTATGCTGCTTTCGGGTTGCATTCTAATGCTGCAAGTTTGCAATTGTTTTTGTTTACGCCGCACTTGTCACGTTTTTTTCCCCCCTTTTTTATTGTAATTTTTTGTGTTTTTTGTTTCGCCAGCAAGAATCTCATTGTTTTGCTCCATTTGCTATTTATTTCAGTAGACGCTAAATGCTGTACTTTTATTTATTACCAAAGTGGCGAACATTAATTCATTAAAAACATGTAGACGGCAAATATGTACATATTTATCTATTTATTGAGTTGTACAATTCATTCTTAAATGCGACACAAGGCATATTGCATTAATGAAGAGTATTAGAAAGAAAGAGTGTTAGAAGCGCGGAGGGGGCGGGGGGGGGGGAGCAAATTAAGCGCACATACATACATATTTACATGTGTGTTTAATTGACGTAGTACGCCGTATAAGGTATTCTAAATGTAAATAAATTAGTACAACTTCACGTTGCGTTGTTTGGAAAATGGTGCAGCCTTATGTATCTAAGTAGTCTAAATTTCATAAGGCAACTTGCTTGCACTTAAGTAAATTAACGGCGGCAGAGTAAACATATTTGCATGCCTGCATAAATTAGAATACATTCTCATTATCGATTTCCTCATTAATCAATGACGTTTTTGTTTTTATCACTGCATTCATGCCTTTGTGCGCTCAAGGCCGCAGCACTAATGGGCTGGCTGCATTGTGAGAAGTGTATTTTAGCTTCCTGGCGGTTTTATTTTAAAAAATGCATAAGCAATATGTTTATCTTAAGCGTCCAAACAACAATATTTATGCAATTATCACAAGCAACAAACACCCTGTGCCACTAAGCAAATATTTATTTGAATTTCCGTGCCACCATGCAACCTTGCAAGTTAGAGGAAAGAAATGCAAAAGCGAAGCAATATGGAACGGAAAGGGAAAAATTGCAATGGGAAATACGTATGTATTTAGCGACTGCAGCGCAATTGTTGCAAATTCGGCCTCTTTTTAGGCGTTTCATGAATTATAAACTCCGAACCAGTATGCCATGAAAAGGAAAAATGTTCCCATACTCCAAAATCCTGTAGATGAGAGGCATTTTTGAAGAGTTGTGTAGAGAATGAAGTTGCACAAGATCGTATCCGAACTTTTTCTTTTGATAAAATCATGAAAAGTTTCAAGCGATGTGCTGTTTGACATTTTTACAGGATTTTGCACGAAAAGTATTGGATCAGAGCTAATGTATGCGGAATGAAATACGAACTGATGCAGTAACAAGTAATATTTAAGCAAAAAACAAAACCGACTTCAATTCTCATATGATCTAATGATCGGATCTAAACCAGATTAGTATGGGATTAGTATGGGACCACCTCTACGACACTACCTTCTCGATGCAAAAAGAATTACCGCACGAATTATTGACGTGGTCCAAAGTTATGCGGTAACATACATAAAAAAAAAATTCCGACAAACTGATAACCTCCTCCTTTTTTAGAAGTCGGTTAAAAAGAAACAGCTATACTTTCGGAAGCAACAAATATTGTTTTTCCACTCACATAGATATTGTCGAAATTTCCAAGAAAAATTTTTTTTGGAAAAGACTCATGACCTTAACGATAGACCTGTTTAAGTATTCACGCATAGTGCGGATGATTTTGCAGAGAGATCAAGCAATTTATGATTCTTGTTACGGCCTCACTCTCGCTGCTATGTGAAACATGTTTGTACGCACTCGTGGGTTTTCGTTCTACTAATTTCCTTTTCTTTAAAACTGACATTTCCCTTGTAAATAACATTTTTTTTTTAGGTCTCATAGAGAACAAATTAACATGCACGTTACTTTTCGTGACATTGAGTTTCGGTATACAAAATTTATAAGCAAATTTTCAGAGTTCGTTCGCTTTCAAGAAAATTATTTCAGCATTTATAATATATGACGAGATAATTTTTAGTGGAATGCTTGATAAGATTGCACAGTAGATTTTGGTATATGTACTTAGTTTGGCTCCTGTGTTTACCCGAAATTTTTTTAAATCTGCTTAGAAATTGTCCGCATTACATTCCGCATACGTTATACACACATAAGCTGACACACGCTACATATGTAGGTATAGGTGGTTAAATAAAGCGAAATAAAAAATGCAAATTAGCGCCGTATTTTCAAAGTTTACCAGCATTTCATTCAATGCAACTACACTGACAGAAAAAAATTGTTGAGCAGCTCGTGTAGTTGCGTAATTCCAAACGTGTAAGTGCTTGTGCAAATTAAAATAATATTTCCTAACTGCCTGATGCAATATGCCATAAATTTAATATAACCGGATTTGCAAAAAAAAATTTAAATGAAAGCAAAAGGGGATTTTAATTTTGTAAGCATGTGACACAATTAAAAGACTTGTATGTTCTCGAATTAAGTAGCTGCCCAAAAATCATAACTTGAATTTAAAAATGTTTGATACTAAACAATGAAGAATGCCGCTAAAAGGCTTAATATTAAGTACACATTTACATTAGGGTGCATCACCATACAAAAAAATCGCCACCGTGTTTCCATCGGAATTATAAAATTGCTTACATTTTAAGACCTCCGCTAAAAGATTTCGGAAAAATATTGAGATTTAAGTGAGCGGAACCCATGGGAAAATTCCACCATTTTTCAGTTAGCGCTCGCAAAAATAAGAATTTTTAGTGAAACAAATTTTTTTCGCTACTTTTTTTTCAATAAACAATTATATTGCAGCCAATTGATTTTTGGGGGTTATTTTGTTGAAGGTTTCAAAATTTTTATCCATATAAACAAGTCGTCAAACATATCTAAAGTGCGATCAACTCAAAAAAAATAAAAAATAGGGCGATTTTTTATTGCCTAAATCAATCCATAGAGGACTTACGTCCAATTAATAAAATTTGTGTTTTTTGGATCAACAAGAGAATTTTCATATGTGACCGAAAGAAAAAAACGTTCGTTTTATATGACACAGTCTAATGTACATATTTACATATGTATGAATAAGTATTAATAATATTTTGGCGATTACACGTTTGCTAAGTATTTGGCCGAGCTTTTCCTCCAATTTGTGGCGCGCGTCATGATGTTGCCACACAAATGGAATGATCAGCTTTTTCAAGACAGAAAAACGCTCGCCGTTAAATATTACAGAGACCAGGGATTGAACCCGAGGCCTACGGGATGGTAGTAAGCACCTCGTGACTACTCGGCCATAGCGTTAAATTGCAAAAAAAAAAGTATTTAAGAGTGCTTTAAATTATTATTTGCAAGGAATCACACTTAATCAGCAAACAAGCCAATGCAGACGACGCTTTTATTGGTATAATACATACTCGAGTTGTATCAATAGCTTATAACTTTTTTTAGGAGACATCAAATGCTACAATTCTATATCAATAATAGTATGTATACACACATAGTAAGTTGTTCACACCAAACAGTTGTAGATTTACAAAAGATCGTATCGGCGACTTTTGAGTGTTTACACTCAAATTAACAGAAATATCGTTTTATATGTTATTCATATGTATTTATCCATATATGTATGTACATTCACACACTTCAGCCTCTTACACTCGAATTTGCAGTGTACACTTAATTGTTTTTAATAATAATACGCGTTATAAGTATTCAACAACAAGAATTCTTTAATAAACAACTAGCTAAATATTTTCGAGTTCGAGTAAATACATACATACATACATACAATTGAATATGTATATAATACGCTTAACAAAGTAGTCTTCCAATTTATCGCGTATTTATGTAATGCTGGCGTACTTATTTATACCGCGCGGCACTTTATTTGCACGCTTATGGTCTGATTATGGCAACTTAACGTAACTTACGGCTCTCACTCAAAAATTCTGTTAAATGGATGTTGCTTATAATTGAACAGCCGAAATTTAACGCAACTTAATGCCACGTCGAAATCTGTTTCATTTTAATTCTCCAAGTTCTACGATCCGTTAAGATAAGTTAGGTTGGCATAATCAGGCTTTTAGAGCTTGAAGATTAACATGTGGAGCTTTAAGTATCCAGTAGTTAGTATATCGCTAGCTTAGAGTGAAAAGTTGCTAACATCACTTTTTGCCAAATCTCATAATTTGAAATAAAGTTCAGGCCGAGCCGATGGACGGACGGACAGACAGTCACCGCTTAATCGATTTCTCTTTTCATTCTGTTCATTTATGTATACATTTGTCTATAGCTATCTCGATTCGTTTTGCCTGTTACAAACAACCGTTATATGAACAAAGTTATAATAAGGAGATGTCCCACCAGTCACAATTTTAAATATTTTTTTTTTTATATTTCTATGAAGATTATATAATCTTTAATTTTATTGAAAATGTAAGCGTATAATTCATGTTTTACAACACAAAAACATCGTTCATGAATATTCAGTGTTTTGGCTAAAATTCATCTTTGAGTACACAAGGATAAAATAGAGTTATTTTCAGTGTCCCACCAGTCACATTCATTCTTTTGGTATTTTTGTTAAAGCAATTTTATATATTAGTCATCGTTCTATCTTTCTTTAAAATATCTTTCGCTGTTGTATAAGTTCCGACGGCATAGCTATAATTCACAACTGATCACATTGTAGAGTAAAATGTCACACTAGTCACAATGGAATGGAAATCTTTTTACAGAACGTTGCAATCCAAAGCCTTGCAAAATACTTGAAGAAACAGACTATAAGAAGTTTTTTTCGCTCCGGTAAAGTTACAAAAAATGGACTTAGCAACTTTTCACTCTAAGTTAGCGATATGAGTACATAGATATATATCGTCGTTTAAAGTACAAAACGGCGTACCAAGAAAATGCAAACCCCAAATGTCAGTTACGAGGTTTTGCAGAACGACGATACGCGCTTTTGTACTTTCAACGACAATATGTATTTACATAAGTGTTCTTTTACTGTACTACGGGTAAATGTGCTAGCAGCTAGAAACATGTGGTGCTGTAGAGGTGTTGTTACCTTTAAAAATATAAGTGATGAATTCGTTCGGGAAGTACACCATAGCAAAATATTTATTTTTATGGCAAATGTAAATATTTGTGTTTTCTATTTTATTTTGTGTTTTCTATTTTATTTTGTTTTAATTTAATTGCCACGCGCTGTAAAATAATGAGCACTATTTTTTTCTGGCTGGCAAATTAGGTTCTTAAAAAATATTTGGCTAGTTCGCGGAGTTTTGCTGTCAATTTTTTCCGCACAAAACTCCAGTGAAGCAGTCAGGCACTTTTGGCTAAATAATGCGATAGCTGCCCCTTTTTAATGCCCTGCATTGAGAACGAAGGAAATTTATGCTATATTTGGAGCAGATAATAGAGGAAAAACTCACAATATATAATTCTTGTGTCATTTCATGTTTATCCCTAGGCTTTACTGCATATTTACATACATGCAATATATAGTACATCGTTATGCACAAATGCTGTGCCAGCTGGCTTTGTGCTAAGCGCAAAATTTTTTTAGTTGGCGTAAAATGATCCCGCAAACTCAGACTATCAGTCTGTGCCTTAGTGCACATACATAAGTTTTTTATTTGTCAATAAAATATTAAGACTATATATTTATAAACCAAAGCAGCAGCAGCATTTGCAGACGCCTTTCCAGCATTCGCGCTGATTGATGTTGTTGAACTGCACTGATAGCGTTTTCAACTCATGTTCAAGATTATTAATAAAATTATAAAAAAAAATGCACACACACACACACACGAAAGAGAGCAATTTTCAGCATAGGACATTAATTTTGAGAGTAATTTTATAAAGCGGGGAATATTTTTTATTAAATGACCACCTTAAAAAATCTGCATAGTATTCAAAAAAATATGTTTTTATTTTTCAATAATCTTTCCGCAAATTAATAATCCATTTCCTTTCTTTTCTTTACAGATCGATAAAAAAATTCTTCAACTAATTGTTTGAAATTTCTGATAAACGGAAATTTTGCCTACTATTTTTTACCAAACGTAAACAAATAGTGGTATTTGCATCGAGGCAAACCGGAAAAAAACACCGCAAACAAAAACTCAACATCTATTTTTTAAGTGATTAATTTCACTTCTTCAATTTTATTCACTTAATTTTATTCGTCTCGATTCAAGCGAGAGAAAAGCCAACAAAAAACCGAACTCATAGAATGGTAGAAGGTGATTCGATTAAGAATAAAAGTGATTGTAAGTATACAAGAAAAACATACAAAAAAATTAAAAATATTTAAAAAATTAATTACTGAGAAGAAATAAATTATATACTTTAATTAAAAATCAATTTGTAAAGTTTTTTTGTTAAAGAAATATTGAAAGCTTAGCAAGGTCTTTAAATTGCCTAAACAAAAAAATAAAAAGATATAGCTAGAGAATTTCAAAAAATTTTAACTAAGTTTTTTTTATAATAAACATACGGCTTCTTTGCGAATTTCCTGTGAATAAATATTCCCCAAAATTATAAAGCAAAACAAAAAAAAATACGCTATTTATTTTTGTTTATCGTTTAATAATGGGAACGATTTACTCACGTGGAATTGGTGATAAGGCTCCTATTTTCAAAATTGGTTCAGTTAAAAAATCGATTATGGTCTTGAAAATTTGGAAAACAAATTTTACCTTTAATTGACGAGTGGCGTTTTTTGAAATCCCATATGGCGGACGAAGTTTTGAAAAATTATTGGATTCACTCAAAATTTTTTAATTGCGAGTTTTTGGGGTATCGGATTACGAACATGATCATGAATTTTTGAAAATCAAAATGGCGAATGTTTACCTGTTGCGATCGAATTTTGGAGGGTGGATTGTTTCAGTTAACGAAGAATTCCACATATATTTTTTGCAATAATGTCTGCTTAACAAAATTTTCGAACGCTTAAATACGCGCCGACTTTCACTGATAACGACAAGGTTAGGAAAAAAATTGATAATACATACATACATACATACTATTGTAACATTATTGCTACGACCTCGAAGAAAAAAAGATGAAGGCACACGTTTGCTAAAAATAACAAAAAATTTCACACCTCCTTTGAGACACTGAAGTGGTTCTTTGTGTTCTTTCAAAGCCAATGCGTTTTGATACGCCTCATCATTTCCTTGAAAATGGAAAAAATACATAATATTTTACTATTGATAAAGCGCGATTTTTGACAGCTTTTTTTTTAAATTAGCAACTTTGTGACGCAAATTGCACAAAAAAGTGTGGTTTGTGAATCATTTTGTAGTTAACTGACTCATAAATGTTTGCCATAGGACGTACAAAGATAGCCATTTATTCAGTTTTTTAAAGATTTAAAAAAAATCAATTGATTTTTAAAACCAACCCTGTTAAGAAGAATCTTAAAATTTAATTTTAAAACTTCTTCAAATGAAAGAACATTTTGAAAAAGTTGAACAAAATTTATATAAAAAATTTCTTCAAGGCATATTCAACAAGGTGGAAGTAACAACTCAGTCGAGCTCTCTCATAGCTGACTGTAATGTCAAAAAATGTAAACAAAGAAATTAACCCTTTGTTATGCATTTACCATATTTGATAAAACTCAATATCTTTGAAATAAAAGTTTTTGTAAATATGTAGATATTTAAAATCTCATTAGAATGAGCTTCATTTTAGTTAATGCGTTTTCGTTTTAACGTAAATGTGGAAATGCATAATTAATGTTGTCGCTTCACTTGACAATTCGGAGGTTTAAAATAACGCACAAGTTTGTGGTCCTGGCTCTTGCCAAACACAACACACCGCCCATAATTCCTTTTCATTTTATTATGTATTTAAAATCAGTCGGACAGTTCACAATTGAAAACTTAAATTTAAAAAATTTAAATTTTGAATAGTATAGGGTTAAAAGTTGACATTTCAGTCGCAGTTCAAAAGAGAGAAATGTCGAAATCTCTTGTACCTTATTATGCCTTGGTTATGCCTTGAATTTCTTCAATAAAAAATTGTCTGTTTAACAACGACCTCACTTAATATGTTTTCTCTCTTTCTATTTTCCTCTTCTCTCTCTCTCTTCCACAGCCTATAATGTAGAGGCTGGCATCCAACCAAACTACAATAACAGCAGAAATAACTCGATCGACAATCGTTCCATTCTACAGCCCTATTCGTTGGGCAGTGGCGGCAAGGATCCCGAATATCAATTTGCAGCAGTCAATAAGGGTTACGAGACGGACATTAGCAGCGCTGGCGGCGATAAGCATGACGTAGAAAAGGGTAGTGCGGCCGTCATTGAGGTCACCCACAACGGCGTCGTTCCACACAGCGGCAGCGGCAACGGCAACGGCAACGGCGGTGGCAGCAATGGCGGAAGTGGCGGCTCAGGCGCCGATGGCCGCCGCTCCACTGGCATACGGGCCGGTTTCGAGCAGGCCATCGAATTATGCGGCTATGGAAAATTCCATTATATTCTATTGGCCATTTGTGGTCTGGTGAGCACCAGTGAAGAAATGGACGTCATCTCCATGTCGTTCATTCTACCATCGGCACAATGTGATTTGGATTTGAATACGAGCACCAAAGGATGGCTCAATTCAATTATATTCATTGGTATGATGGTCGGTGCCTACTTCTGGGGCAGCATCGCCGATGCGGTCGGACGTAAAAAGGTGCTCATTGTGATCTCCTTTATGAATGGCTTTTGTATTGTTGCATCGTCATTTTCGCAAACCTACGGATGGTTTATGCTGTTTCGCTTTCTCAATGGCGCGGCGTAAGTATACACACACATACACATACGTACATACATACATACATACAAACAAACTAATAGATAAATATTTCATAAAAATCCACTAACTCATCAGCCATTTATTTGGTTTCGCCACAACACGCTAATCCCAAAATGAATCATTGGCATTGAGGCAGCGAGCGCTGCTGCTGTAAGAGTCGAACTTGTAAATAAGCGCGGCTTGGCGTTAATTAAATCGCTCGTAAAATGTTAGTTAACAGCAGCGACTAGCGACTGCGGCCAGCGTGGCGTGGCGTGGCGTTAATGTGTGCGGGCGCGGAGTCAGCCCTACATAGCTGACACTTGGGTAGCGCTGAGCAACGTGGCTTTCTTTATTGTTTAGCCCCACACACACTCATACATATATAAGTAAATTTTCGCACACTAAATTTTTTTTTGCACTTTTCACCCGGTTCGCGAGGTGTTAATTTGCCACAACAGTCGCGTATATATGTATGTACATAAATGCCTTCACAAGCTCTCACATTTTTTAAGTTCATCAACAAATTAGTAATATTCGAAAATTGCAAACAGTTGCAATGCACGCTTTTTGTTTATTTACACAAGAAGCGCTCAATGAGAAATAAGGCGTAAACAAAATTTTTAAATCATCATTAAATCGACGTATTTATAATGGATGTTTTGCGCGCGAGCAGCGAAAAAAGAGGGCAATAAAAACAATGAGCTTATGAATATTTATTATGGAATATACTTAATTGATTAAAAAGTAGAAAATATTTGAAAATAGATTTATGTATTATGCGAGCGAAAAAAAGTTGCGCATACGCCGTGTGGCACGACGGTATGTTATTGTAGAATTCACTGCAAGTGCAAACAAGGGTAAATACTACGTAAATTATGAAAAAGTATTTGTTTTTAATATTTGAAAAAGAAACGGAAAAATCAAGATTTGCAGAATATTAGAAAATCCCAAAGAAAAGATTAAACAGAATAACTTGGAAACAATTTTAAAACATAGTTTGGAAAGAAGTTAAAGTTTAAATTTAAAAAGATAACTTGGACACAATATTTATGTAAATTAAAGAATATTAAGAAATGCATATAATGAAATAAAAAAAATGATAATAGTAATTTAGCATCAATTTTAAATTTGATTTGGAAACATTTTTCTTTTTAATTTAAAGCAAAACTTTTATAGTTTTTAATATCCTATGCTGTAATTTTTTTTTTAATCAAGTTTTAGTATTTAAAAAATTTTAATTTTGGACGCTCAAGAATTTTAGCTTCATTTTAAATTTTCACATTAAAAAAGAAAAGTTTCATATTTTCTATTTACGATTTTCATAATTTGCAAACAAACTCATATAACTATAATCAATAAGTCATAAATTTTCTGTTGTCCGAGACTTGATCAATGAAATACTTTGGCAATATTAACAGGTTTTGTCTTTCTAATTTAATAATATAGATTTATTACAGTAAAAAAAAAACTTAAAAATACGGAACCACAGTTTTTGTGCGACTTAAAAGAAAACCAATTGGATTAGTACACTAATATAAGACAATGAGAAATACATAAGAATTAGGATAACTGAAAGAGTAAAAAAATTAATTGAAATTTTTTCAATAGGAATCGAAAAGTTACAGAATTTTATCGAATATCGAAATATATTGACACAGAAACTTAGTTGCCGAAATTTACGAATAGTTATCGAGCTATAATAATTGATGTGATTATCGAAATTTTTTAAGTTAAAGAAATTTGTCAAGTTATCGATATTTATTGAATCATCATTATTTATAGAGTTAACGAAATTTATCGAGTTATCGTAATGCATCGAGTTGTTTCAACTTACAGTGTTATCGGTAATTATTGATTTACTGAAATCGGTTGATTTATCGAATCGAAGTTTATGAAATTTTCATAGAAATTTCAAAGTTACATAAGTGTATCGAGTTATCACTGCTTATCGAATTTTGTCGCGTTAACAGAATTTAACGAGTTATCGAAATATATGGAACTGTCAAAATTAACCGAGTTATCGAAATTACCTTTATACCTTTATAATCCAAAGTTTGTCGAGTTATCAAATTATGTCGACATATATATATATATATTTTTGACTTACCGAGCCCTCGAATTTCACAGTTATCGCAATTAGTTAAGTTACCGAATTTTATTGAGTTATCGGATCATATACCACAATATCCGAAGTTCAGCTACATACATACATACATACAAATGTACATAATTCATCACTCCTCATTTTAGCTTCATATTTTGTGTTAATAGATTTCCATTTTTCCACTTTGTTTCATCATTTGCTCGCATACTTCGATTTCTGCTCCCATTTTTCCTATTCTCCATTTCGTCCTTAGCCTTATCCTTATATGTACATATAATTTACTTCCACTTTTACTACATACATACGTTCTTTCTCCTCTCTTTCTCTTCAACTTTCAGTCTCGGCGGCAGCGGTCCAGTCATTTGGTCGTACTTCGCCGAATTCCAGCCGAAAGCGAAACGTGGCTCCATGTTGAGTTTCATGGCTGCCTTCTGGACCTTTGGTAATCTCTTTGTTGCCGGCCTTGCATGGTTGATCATTCCCAGCAGCCTTGGCTTCAAAACCGACTTAATTACATACAATTCATGGCGTATCTTCTTGATGGTGTGCGCTCTGCCATCATTCGTGGTCGCCTTCCTGCTCTTCTATTTGCCCGAATCGCCGAAATTCCTGCTAACCAAGGGCAAACAAGAAAGGGCCATGGCCATATTCCGTGGCATCTTCGTGACCAACACACACAAACCGGCAGAACAATATCCCGTCATCGAACTGGACATCGACGAGAAACTGTTGGCCGAGATCAAGGAGAATCAGGCTGGCGTCAAGGGCAAATACAGTAAAATGATGTCGAATATGGCCGATCACAGCAAACAACTGTTCACCTCGCCGATTCTAAAATTCACACTCATCTCCATTACCATCAACTTCACCTTTCACATCGGCTACTACGGCCTGATGATGTGGTTCCCAGAGCTGTTCAATCGCTTCGAAAAGTACAGCGTCGCCTTCCCAGATCAGCGCGCCGGTGTGTGCACAGTCACCGATTATGTGGTGGGTAAGATAGAGGAAGAAGATGCCGTCTGCTCAGGGCACATACCTCAGAGCGTATTCCAGGAGTCATTGATCTCCTTAGCCTCCGCGCTGCCAGCCAACCTGATCGCCATTTTGGGCATGGACTTGCTGGGGCGCAAATTCTTCCTTATCTTCGGCACCATGACTGCTGGCGTGTGCTCGGCTGCCATGTACTTCGTGTTCAGCTCGACACAGAACCTGATCGTGACGGCTGTGTTCAGTGGTGCCATCTCAGCTGCCAATGCAGCCTTGGACTGTCTCATTACCGAGGTCTTCCCTACACATTTGCGCGCCACCGGTGTGGCCATATCCATGGTGGCGGCGCGTATGGGTGGCATCATTGGTAACATAGTGATTGCATCACTACTGGATCAGTATTGCCCGGCACCGACGTTCATTGTGGCCATCCTATTGATGGGTGGCGGTCTCATGTGTTTGATGTTGCCCAATACAACGCGCAAAGAATTGAATTAAAAATGGATTGGCGAGTAGAGATTGTGGAGCAAAGCAGATGGAAGAAGTTAGCGGAGAATTGTAGCAGAGATCTGCACGAGTTAGGATAAAATAAATACTCGGAACAAACGAATTTCGTGGTGGGATTTAGTTGAGTGGGGAACAAAACGCATGTACACATACAAACAGAAAACAAAAACAAAAACAAAAGAAAACACATACATACACATCTAAGTACTAATGTAATGTCGCTTAGGAACTTGTTGTAAATTTTCTAGCCATGTAATATATGTAACTACCGATTAATATAACTAAAAGTAATAGAATTTACACACATACATATACACGTAATTACCAAAAAGTGAATTAAATGTTTCAAGAAACGACTATAAAAATGTTATTTCATATTTTGAATAAAAGTTTGATTTAAGAAAAAACGAAAAATAGAGGAAGAAAAAATCGCTTTTATCTTTAAAAAAAAAA